ATTACTTTTTCCTGAATAAAATGACATGCACTTTAATATGCTTCTTTCTCTCATGGAACGTTGGGTGGTAGCTTGACTATTACAAAACGTTTTCATTGGCTCACCAATTGTGAATTCATCTCCTGCATCAAGGTTTTCAGTCACACTAACTCATATCTAGGTATGAGCCATTGTTCTATATTCTACTTGTGCACTAGACCTTGCTACAATATTGTGTTTACCTTGCTACAATATTTTGTTCTTTCTCTTCCATGTCAACAAATTTCCTCCAAAAAATGTTCAATACCTTGTAGTAAATGTTCTATTTGGGGGTGATTCTGCCAATATGCATCAAAATAACCCTCATTTGTGAAATGACTGTTCGTAGATTAGCCCTTGACATGGAGCCCCTTTAAGATATCTTGAAATTTGAAGCACAACCTCCTAGTGTGGTGTTCTGGGAGAATGCATATACTCACTACACTTTGCAAAGGCTACATTTGAAGCAGTAATTGTTAGGTAGATAAGCCTGCCTACAAGTCTTCTATACCTTCCCGTATCTTCAAGCGACTTTCCCTGATCCTTCAATAATTTAGTACTAGGATCCATAGGCATATCAACTGGCTTAGCACCCAATATCCCTATTTTTGATAACATATCTATTGTACTTCCTTTAAGACAGACTAATACCATATTTAGACCTAGCTACTTCGATTCCAATAAAATATCGTAGTTGGCCCAATTCCTTTGTTTGAAAATGCTGTTGCAAATCCCTCTTCAAATTGTTAACATAAACCACCAAGACAATTATACCTGAGGATCTATATAGGTTCCTTTTAACCCATATAAAAAAAAAAATTGCTTGGTCAAGGAGGTTATATTTTTACTCCATGTTCTTCATTATATTTTCATCTTTTAGATAGCTCTCTTTCTTTTGTTTAAGTGGTTACCCTTCCAGTGCCAGTAGAACAAAGCTCTAATAACTCTTATGGATTTACTTCATGATGAATGTCTTCCATTTAGCATGAGAATCGGTATTTTATCTTTCAATAGAACTTCTTGGGATATTGTAATGTTTGACTAGTAATACATGTTACTTATATATACAGTGCTTGTTGATCCCTCCGTCGTCTGGTTATCAATTATATGCATTTTTTTTTATAATATTATCAATTATCAATTATATGCATTGGAAGCTTTCTCCCATGTTCATTGCTTATCATGTTTATTGTCTTCTAGGTAGTTTACGATGCAAACAGACTTGCAAATCTGGTCAAACAAAAGAAAAGGCTACAGAACTGGCTCGACTACAATCAGAATAAATACCTTCGGAATCCATCTGAAAGACCAACTAGAAAGGTAAACTGAATTTTCTGGGATCTTTTTGATTATGCTAAAACTTTCATTTTCGTCTGTATCAATATGCATTCCTTTGCAGTGTATTATTGCATTAGTTTCCATTATAAGCTCAAATTCTCATGTGACTGTTTCTTTCTCTATAGACTGGATTTTTGGGTCTTTGGGGGGAAAAGGTTGATAGCATAGACTTTTACACTGCTGAGATCGAGAAGCTATCCAAGGAAGTAAGTACCATTTAATTGAACTCCTTGTGAAATATGAAATTGTGTATATTTTCCTCTCTTCTGTCTATTGCATAACTGATTTAGTTTCACTGATGTTCAAGTTCAGTAAGGCTAGAATATTGGGTCTTTATTCTTCTATATGATATATAAATATTTCATTTGATATTGGATTCTTGATGCGGTATTTCTTCTTTTATGTGATCTTTTTTTTTCTTAAGATATTACTGATGTCCTCATGGATGCTTTCTTTATAAAGTGTTTTGAGCTCACACTGAATTGAAGTTTCGTGACGGATTATGTGCTGAAAGCTGTGTGGTGACCTCTATCATTACCATGTTGGCCAGTTTGGCCTTGAATGTCATCCATACTTAAAAAGAGGCATTTTTCTTTAAATTATTTTCAGAAAAACTTCATCTCCCAAAAGGTAATGGTTACACAGATCCTTCATAGCAAATGGATTGAGGTTTTGTGGTTGGAAAGGGAGCACTAGCTGAATCTTGGCCTCTGATTCCAGGAATTAGGCCAAAACATGAGTAGCACGAGTGGCGCATGGTTCTTGCTTAAAAATCTCAAGAAAAATCCAAACAATATTCTAAATATGGTGTGAACCTTCCACCAAAATTTAGGTTTCAAATAAGTTGTAGAAGTGACAAAATCCATGTGATGTCCTACCTGGACCAAAACAGTATACTAAACACTACAAAGTTTCAATCCTTCTATCCGTGCATTTACTTTTAGATGCTGTGAAGATGAGTGTAAAATCAAGTTCTGGTACCTTGTGGAATCTTGAAGAATAAAGATACAAATTGAGGGCGAGAGAGATGGTAAATGCATTTATCTATTAACAAATAGATAACCTTAGATCATTTGATTTACGCATCTATGGTCAATAGGTCCATGGATCAATTCTCCATATAATATATTGCCATCTTGTAACCAAAGGACTCACGGCTTGCCAGGCGGCCTCATGCAGTGATGTGACATAAAAGACATGACTATGGAGGACTGTCTCTTCCTCAGCTGTAGGCCAGGCTGAGCTCAGGTGGTAGAACATTCTTGATTGTGGGATTTATGTCTTCATTCTTTTTGAAGGGTAATTTGACATAAAAGTTCTGGTTTCTCCAAAGAGTATGGGAATTGGCACAACAATCTGTCATTATTTTTTGTCTAATTGTTTCTAAACTGTGTGTTTGGTCTATGGATGCAATCCAAGGTAAGGCCAGGGTTTTGTAGTGTAATCCTTTGGAGGTCCATTGGAGTTTTACCTGGTGTAGAACATCAAAACCAAGTAAAAGTTCTTTGTTGGGTAAATGGGATCCTAACAGTTTATGCTGGATAACTAATTTAGGGAAAAGCTTAATCAAAATAGGTTTGTTGATCTGGTTTATGGTAAACTTTTCTCCATTAGCTGCTCTGAAGGTTTGGTTGCAGGGTTCCCAAAATTGCTTTGGCAGTAAATCTGGCTTTAAGATACTAGCAGATGCACCTGTATCAAAAAAGGCAGCAATATTCAATGGTTTAGCATAGTTTTCTGGTAGAATTTAAACCATGGCGATTGGGGAAGGCTGGAAAGGTAAATTGGCTATGTCTGTCTCATTTTCCTGCGGTGACAACATCTCAGAGCTTTCAGTTTTGCATATTTCATTCAATTCACTTTCATTTGAATATGCAATTGACAATAGTGTTTCTGGTGACTGTTCATCATCTCAAGAGAAAACTGATTCGAGATCATCATCTATTTCTTCATCCAGGATTTGAGAAAGAAGATGAATAATTTTTTTCTTTTTTTTTCTGGTTAGGACAATTTTTTGCAAAATGTCCTTTTTGTCCACAGACATAACATCTATTTCCTTTCTTGTGTCTGAAATCTCAAAATCTTGATCTCCGAAGAAATTTAAATTTCTTAAATTTCTTCTTGTGTCTTCTTTGTCTGAAGTTTGTGTCTTCTTTTTGACGTTTTGGGCATATGCATTGCTTTTCAGAATTGCATTTGATTTTGAGATATGGTTTTTCACAAGATAGTCTGAGCAAGTGTTTGTTCTTGTCCATTTCTTTGACAAACTCAATTTGGTTGCACAGTCTTTCTAAAGCATGAAGAACATATCGGTACAATTCACCAAAACTGGTGTTTTGTATTGTAAGCCCTTGATTTTCCATTGTCTTTGTGGCTTCCTTGCCTAAAGTTGGTGGCACTGATTCAAGATAAAACTGTTTTAGATTGACATCATCAATTCCGCCAATCTTATGATATCTCTTGTTCATTTTAGAAAAATGTTTCTCTAAATCTTCGTCTTTTGAAAGAACAACATTTTAACTGAAAAAATTCTTCTCTTGCAACAATTTGTACATGCTTTGTAGGGCCAGTAAATTCAGTGACTATGTAGTTAAGGAATTTGAGTATAGACTCACTATTTCTTAACTAAAGTTGCCTGTATTCTCCAAGGCTTATGTACCAGTCAAAAAGACGTCCTCTTAATCTGACAATAACTTTCGAAATTGTTTGCGATAACGTGTTTGCTGGATTTAGCATTTCAGCATACATCCATCCTTGGATTTCTCTGAATCTATCATTCCATTTAGACGGTGGAATATCATCAATGGTAAAGCCTTGGAAGATTCACCATAAGAAGGGTTTGGTTGTGGTTCATGGTAATTTGGAGGCCTAACATCTTCTTCCATGTCTATGTTTGGGTCAGGTTCAGGTTGTGGTTCTGGTGGATTCATCATCAGTAATGATTCTGAATCTGTAGAGGTAGAAGGGAAATCTTCAGTTTCTTCACTAGGACTTTCTTTATTTTGAAGATTGACTTCTTTTGGGTTAGATAAGTTATTTAAAAAAGAACTTACATGATTGGGATTTTCTAAAGGCATTTGGATTTGTGTGGGAATGGAAGAGGCTACAACATTAGAAACAAGGACTTCAGATTCTGTGTAAGAATTCTGAATCATTTGTGTTTCATTTTTAGGTTGTGAAGGCTGTGCAACGGCTGGTGTCGAGGTTGGTTGTGAACTAGGCATAGTTTGGGAAGATGAGGCTGGTGTATTTGGGTTTTGGCGTTTTTGTAACTGAGGAAATAACAAATGTGTAGGAAATTGTCTGTCTTGTTCAAATGTTCTTAGAGGTCTAAAGCCATAATTCTTGGGGGGAATTAAGCCTGTTGGAGGGTAAAGGGTTCTAGTTGGAGGGAATGGGTCTGGATTTCTTAAGGTGGGATGTGTTTGGGTATTTGGCATTGGTAAAAAAGGCTGGTATTGTGTCTGAAACTGTTGTTGGGATGTCTGGTATTGGGATTTCCAGAGGTCCGTCTCCAAAGTTTGAAGTTGTTTTTCCAAAGAAGCTTTTTCTTGCCCTTTTTGAACCAATAAATAAGACTGTTCATTGATATCCTTGACTGTGTACAAAATATTCATCAATTCTTCATGCAATAATTGAATTCTTTCTTTCAACTGGTGAATCAAGTTTACTAATCCCTGCATTTGAGTAGACATTGCATTTTGTTTCTCTTCGATTCTGACCAAAGTTAAGTTCTGAGATTTGGCATTTTCAACTTGCCAATTCAGACTTGCTTCTGCTGGAGAAATAGATTTTTGCGTTCTAGTCGAGTCTCTCTTAGTGGGATTTTTAATTTTCCATACATGTTTTTCATTGTCTTGGGGTCTTTCAAAATCATGTAAAGGTGGAAAATTTGTAGTATAACTTGAACTTTGTGGATCAAAAGCCAAACAACTTGGGATGTTGCTTTCGTCAGGATCATCCCATCCTGAAGGGATGATTTATGAATAATGAGGTTTGGGTTCTGTATTAGAACTACCATATGTGACATAATAATTCCATTTATCTGCACATTCTCCAAGTAATCCAACAGAAGGATAACCATTCGTGTATCTCTCATGAAGTCTTTGCTGTGATGACTTTTTCTCTTTTCTTTTCGAAGCTCATATGTATCTTCAAGACATGAAGTACAGTTACAAACATCAAACCAATTGTGTCCGTCAGCAGTTCTCCTTTCATAAATTGGGTTTCCTGATTTATCAAAAGCAACAACATGAACTTTTTCTAATAAACCTTGAAACTGAGTAGGAAATATTTCTCTGGTTTGTTTCTCAGTTATTTGCTGATTTTGGAAATCTATTCTGACAGTTCCATCAGGATTTCGAGTCATCCGAGAATCTATTTGTTGAAAGGGGCCTACCTTGGTTTTGAAGATTTTCATAATTTGTCACCCAAGTGGACGGAATCAATTCCAACAGTCTTTCTCTAGAGATTTGTCTAGGAATATAGTGACAGACGGGTTGGGAATGTTATCTACTTTTATAAACAAGGCTTTATTTTCTTGCTATGGAGATAAAGGAGTGACCACATCAAAGGCATGATTCTGTAATCTATACACCATTTGGTAATGGAGTGTAGCTACAGTGGCTGTTTCAATTTGTTTTGTACCTGTGATTTGCAATTGAACTTTAAAAGCGAAGCTTAGGTGAGGGTCTTTAATGGGAATATTGAAATTTGGGAATAAGGTAACAAAAATGGTTCCGGCATTTAGGGTTGTTTGTATAGTTCCAATACATGCATGCTGGTATTTTAGAAACCTAGAATCTAACAAAGCAACTCGGGAAACTGCTTCCATACCTTTTCTTCCATGAAAAGTGAGTGCAAGCTTAATGGCTCCAAAGTGGACATGGGTATAGCCTTCTTTAATCCATTGAGGGCTATTGGGTAGGGTTATGGTGATATATTGTTCAGATTGGGTGGCTGGGATTTGGTGTTGGTCAAACGAAGAAGCTTGGACAAACTCTTTTATGGCTTCTGGGGTTTTCTTGCCACACAGTTTTTTGATTCTTTTAGTCCAATTCAAACTGGATTTATCATACACATGATAAGGATTTATCAATTGAGATTGTGTTTCTGAAAACTTTTCTGGGGTATGTGTGATTTCAAAAAGATGATCTTGTTTGGAAAACATAGGACAGAAATCAGAAGAAGTGGAATTATCTATAGAAATAGTATCCTCCGCCATTTGAAATATTAAGTTTATTATTTTGTCTGTAATTTTGAAAAAAGAGAAGGTAAGGCCAGTTTTCTTTTTCTGTTAACAAGGTATGATCCGTAACTAAGGCACTCTATCCAACAACAGGGTTCCTGTTATGTTAACTTCAAAAAACATTGATTGACAGTGGAATAGTCAAACACATTTGAAATTAACCTTCAATACATACCATGTTTTCTGATGCGAGAGATCCTAGACCAGCTAGGCAGACGCAGAGCATACTAATCTCAGTAAGAACAGAATGTTAACCTAGACAAAATAATTAACTTCGAACTTTAAAATTAACTTGGCTCTGATACCATTTAATGACAGATCATGGCATGAATAGTAATTTGGGGGCAGCATCTATACTTAGTATCTCATTTTCTTTTTCCCCTTTTCGGTGTGTAACCAGATTCTTATTTTCTGTGAGGCTTTGTTACATGTTCAAAATTGTCATGATTTTCTTTGAATATTCACATGAAAGTACCCCTTTCGACCAGATCTGGGAACTGGAATTTTTTTGTTGTCCTATTGTTTAAATTTTTGCATTTTCATTTGGAAATGCGAAGATAGTATAGCATGCTTTGTTTTACTTCAAAACTCCATACATTCTTCAAAAGTAAACTTGAAATTTTTACCTTCAAATGTTTAGAATTGATCTTTTATTGTGTTTGAGACTATTGCCTCATGCTATTCCTTGTTCTTTTTATGATTTGACTGTGCTTGACGAATCAATCATTGTTTAGGAAGCAGCAGAGCGTGAGAGGGTTATGAGCAGTCCTAAGTGTATTATGCCAGCGGCATTTGTTTCATTCAGGACTCGCTGGGGGGCTGCCGTTTGTGCACAAACACAACAATCCAGAAATCCCACAATATGGTTAACCAACTGGGCTCCGGAGCCTCGTGATGTTTATTGGCATAATCTTGCAATCCCATTTGTTTCACTGACAATTAGAAGGCTGATTGTTGCTGTGGCATTCTTTTTTCTGACATTCTTCTTTATGATACCTATTACCTTTGTTCAATCCCTTGCAAATATTGAGGACATTGAAAAGGTTGCTCCTTTCTTGAAGAAGATTATAGAAAAGTGAGTATTCACCATAGTTTTGTTTTTGAGGAACCATTTTGCTGTGAACTGCTTTATTTATCATAATATATAAGAGGAAGTATATAATAAGACCATTCACCTTTGGTACATGGAGGTCACAATCACACTTCACCTTTGGTTGCTATCATTTGTGAAATCGGAAAGTTGAAGGTGTGTTTTATTGAACCCAAAATTCCAAAAGAACTCCTCGAACTTTGTGATACACCCCCAAGCTCTCAGGTTTCACATCTTATGTCTATGGGTGATTGTGACATCGTACCAAATGTAAATGCTGTTATAGTATACAATCCTAATAGTTAACTGTCAACATGTTGACCTTGTAGACTATAAATATGTAATGCTCTATGTAAATTTTTTTATGTAACATTATTATTTTAAAACAAATAGTTCATCCCAATGCTTGCTTTCCTGCAACTTGGACCATATGACTTGTTTATTATGTGCATTTTTCTTGGACATGCATTCATTAGTTATTTAGGGAAGCTGAAGTGCTTTTGCACACATGCATACACAGCTGTTCTATGATACACCATTATTACACAAACTTATGTTTTAGAATTTTAAACCTCATCTTAGCTATTAACAGGGAATAGTGGGAGATGGAACTTTTCTAAAATAAAAGATTCATTTGCATATGGGTTTAAAGATCTCAAATACCCATT